CCTGAGTTCAATCCCTGGTACAAAAAAAAAGACAGGAGTTGTAAGGCAGAATGATGATACATGACCTCTTTCAATTTCACAATAATGTTTTCAAAAAGCTTAAGATATAGCACAAAATTTAAATATAAAAAGTGTATTAAGATGTTAGGTGACTGCCAGGGAGATGGCTCAGTGGAATAAGCGCTTCCCTGGCAAGTGCAAGGGCCCGAGTTCAATCCCCGGTTCAAAAAAAAAAAAAAGACAAAAAAGATGTTAGGTGACTGAAAATGTTTTAATCTTGTGATGACAGGTACAGAACTCTATAGATCTATGAGAGTATCACTAAATAATACACTTGAGTGGGTGAATTTTACAGTTTATACATTATACCTACTAAAGCTGCTTAACAATGACCAAAAAAATGATGTTAAGTGAAAACAGAAACTGTACAATACTCACATGTGAAAACTCAGGCTGTGATGGGATAGGGAGGGAGCCAGGGGTCAACACTGGTGTGCTCTGAGACACTGGCGCCGACACTTGGGGAGACACAGTACACGCAGGTGGGAGGGCTGTGCTTTCTATTTGCACTGGATCGCTTGCTGGGCGTTTCTTCTGAAAAGGCTCCACCCCGCCCTCAGTCAACACTGACATATCTAATGGTTCGTCTGGTTTTAAAAGAGAAAAACCAAATAATCACTTGTCAATACTATTCACGTTCCAGCACCACTAAAAATAATTCTATACAAATTTCTTCACCTGAGCATCATGGCACATGCCTGTAAGCCCAGCACTTGTGAGGCTGAGGCAGGAGGATTGCCCTGAGTTCAAGGCTAGCCTGGGCTACATAGTAAGTTCCAGAGCAGCCTGAACTGTAGTGAAACCCTGTCTTTAAGAAAGACTTTAACTTTCAGAAAAACAATAATAGACTGCTTCCTAGTAATATTTTTTCCTGGGGTAAGAGAGGGGAAGAAGGAGTAAACATGCTTCTATTAGGTTAAAATTTGGGTTTTGCAAATAGGAAAGGGACCAAGAGATGAAGGGAGGGGAGGGATATAAAAAGAATTAAGGGGCCGGGGAGATGGCTCAGTGGAATAAGTGCTTCCCTGGCAAGTACAAGGGCCTGAGTTCAATCCCCGGTTCCGCCAAAAAAATTAAGACATGTATCTGTCCATCTGAACAACAGATTTGACAATAAAAATACGTAATATAACAACCATTGTTAATTTGCTATTCTTGTTTGGAAAATCTGTACCATATGTATTGTTGTATGTTTCTGTCTTTGTTTTTGCTTTTACTCTTCAAAAGTATTTTAAAAAGGGGGCTAGGGAGATAGCTCAGTTGAATAAGCGCTTGCCTGGCAAGTACAAGGGCCTGAGTTCAATCCCCAGTTCCGCAAAAAAAAAAAAAAGAACTAAGACGCACTGTGTGAGTGCGCCAATTCGACACGATGAATGTAGTCGATATACACTGCAAACATGTACTAATAAAAACACACACTAATATCTGGGGAGACCTCTCCATTTACAAGATGGCTGGCTCTTCCTCAGCCCCTCTCCTAACTCTACAGAGTTCACTTTTCTCATTTTGTGCAGGAATAGCCAGATTAATGCCACTTAACCATTACATATTAAGCTCCAGGATCTGAAAGGCAGTGAATCTGTTTACCACGCTAAGGTGATACGTACGTATTTATGAACTCATTACATTTTCATTAACAGTTGCTAAGTGTACAAGGCAGAAGCCAATACAAACAAAAGGGAAGGAAAAGACCCACTGATGCCAAGCAACACTGATGCATCAAAGATCTAAGAAATCCCTAAAACCAAGATAAACTACTCGAGAGAAAACACACACAACACATGTGCTTTCTCACAGCATACAACGACAGCCTTCTTGCTGTCTTACAGCGTGAGCCCAACCAGGCTTCCTACAGATCATGCAGGAACCCCTACAGCAGTGGTTTCCCCGTCTACACCACGCTGTGGGCTCTCTTCTCCCAGCCTGGGTGCCTACACTTGCTGCTCAGCTTGGCCTGCACCTCACGGGCCAACCTACTGCTGGCTGGGCATCTGTGCTACAGGGCACTGCCACAGCTGTGCTCAGTATTTGCACCTCACCTTGTGACATCTTTTTGTCATTACGAAACACATTAAGGACCCACTACTTTAGGTAATATATAGGAAATAAAGGTTAATAAGACATCAGAAACCAAATATAAAAAGCATATATAGTCTCACAAACATTGATACACATGTTAAGCAAACACACTAAATCTGAAATATACTGACAATGATAATATGTTACATGGAAAAAACTGAATCATATACACAATAGGATGCCAACTATGTAAAATACGTTTTTATATTTATGCATAAAAAGGACTCAAAAGACTATAACCAAATATTAACTGTAATTAAATTTGGAGTGTGGTATTACAGGTCACTTCATTTTCTTATTAGTTTTCTATGCATTTTCTACATGAATATTATTAGAGTATTACTGTATACAATATGAGTATTATTCTATACATTTTCTACAATGAGTATTATTAGAAGCCTAATCAGGGAAAAAGCATTTTTAATATAATCCTTTTTATATATTTTTAATATGCATATTAAAAATGGGGAAAAAATGTTCTAAGAATTAACAAAACTTAACTTGCACTAACAGGGTTTTTATAGGATGGCTTTACCTTAAAGATGTTACTCAGCATTTTATGATTAGGATGCCAGGGGCTGGTGAGATGGCTCAGTGGTCTAAAGCACCTACTTAGAACAAGCTTAGCAGAGTACAAGGACCGCGGTTCAATCCCCCAGCACCACATGCCAGCTAGCCCCGCCCCCTGGTGGGCTGAGCTGGCCACACACACACACACACACACACACACAATAAATAAATAAATTTTAAAAAAAAATGATTAGGATGCCAGTAGTTTATTTGGCTACTACAAGGGATTTCTAAAGAAAACGACTGGAGACAAATGTTGGGGCAGAAGACAATGTCATTCTGCAGATAAATTCATGTGAAAAAACAGCTACATGCATTTCCATAATTACTATACTTAAAGCAGAGACAGCAGAATGTCACGGGAAACACGCAGGTGACCAACAAGGGCACACACTTGGGAGGCGATCGCCCAAGTTCAAATCCTAGCTCTGTATCTCATCACCCACGAAGTGGCCCTGTGCCTCCATTTCCTTATCTGTAAGACACAGGAAAAGCGGCACCTACTGTTTACATGTTGTGAAGCTTCAGTATGAAAAATCACAGACAGGCACCTGGGACCAACGGGAAGCACCTAGGACAGTCTGTGACACACACTCAGTGCTCAATAAAAAGTGGCTACAATTACTGACACATGAAAAGAATAAAAAGGAGACAATTGGGGTGGGGAGACAGCTCAGTAGGGGCCCGAGTTCAATCCCCAGTTCCGCCAAAAAAAATAAATAAATAAATAAATAAAGGAGACAATCATAGAATTTATCAGAAAAAACTTTACAGAAATACTGGTCATTCAGAATATGTTAAATGACTGGGTAGGAGCTTAGAGCAGAGGAAAAGAGGTGTAGGTAACTAAGAAAAACCAGTTAAGCCAGACACAGAAGTACACACCTAGCTATATCCCAGATGGTCAGGAAACTAAGGCTAGAAAAATCATCAAACTCAAGGGCAGCCTGAGGGACTCAATGAGACCCTGTCTCAAAGTCAAATAAAAAGGGCTGGGGATGCAGCTCAGCATCAGAGCATTTGCCTAGCATACACAGGTCCTGGGTTTAATCACCCAGTACCATCAAAAGCAAATAAAACAAAACTAGGTGAATGAAAAGGCTTTCTTATGAATAAAGTACAGTGCTGGCAAGATAGCTCAGCGGACTAAGTGCCTGCTTAGGCAAGCACAGGGACCAGGGTTCAATCCCCATCCCCAGCACCACATGCCACCCACCAGCTTGGGCATACTGAGCCAGTCACTGAGATGGGGTGTAGTGGCCCATGCCTGTAATCCCAGCTCTGGGGAGGCTTAAAACAGGAGGATCACTACAAATGCAAGATGCATAGTCAGACCCTGCACCAAATACATTAAAAAATAATTGTAATAAAGTAATACAAAAAAAGGTAAGTCCTTAAAGGAGAAAATGACTAAATTAAAAATTTTACCACCTCCTGCTCCTAGCTACTCTTTGGATAAAACTATCTGAACAGTGAAAATAACAATCATCAGTTCTCTCTCACCAGAAATGTTAATACGTTTCTGGAAACTAGTAGAACACTAATAAAAAACCCTGATCCTCACCATACTAATTCATTTGCAGTGACTTGAAAGAGATAAAAATTTTCCCTTAATGGCCTTTATAAAAATTTAGTCAACTTGGGCTGGTGAGATGGCTCAGTAGTCTAAAGCACCTATTTAGAACAAGCTTAGCACAGGGACCGTGGTTCAATCCCCCAGCACCACATGCCAGCCAGCCCGCCCCCTGGTGGGCTGAGCTGGCCACTCTCTCTCTCTCTCTCTCTCACACACACACACACACACACACACAAATAAAATAAAATAAATAAACTTAAAAAAAAAAAATTGAGTCAACAGGGGCTGGGGAGATAGCTCAGTGGAATAAGCGCTTGCCTGGCAAGTGCAAGGGCCTGAGTTCAATCCCCGGTTCGGGGGGGGGGGGGGGATTGAGTCAACAATACTAAGCTCTCAGAAGAATCCAAGCAAAGTACTGACATGAACACTTAGCACTAGCTCATCCCCCTGAAGGTTAGAGACCTGGGTCTATAAACAGGATGTGGGAGAGTGTTGGGAAGTACAGAGAAAAAAGGCTGGAAATTTGCTGTGAATGGCAGAGAACATAATGCTGCTCCGCTCTTCTTTGCCGAACTGGGGATGAGACCCAGGCCCTTGGGCAGGCTACAAAAGTACTCTACCACTAGCCACATCCCCAGCCTCCTCTTCTACCTGAGGTTAACAGACAGATCAAGAATGCTCACCTTTTCTCCCTTCTTGCTCTGTGGGACTGCTAGGAACGATAAAAGGGGTAGATCGGAAAGCATCAGGGGAAGGAGCAACAAGGTCTGAGGAATTCCTTTATATAAAGAGAGAATCACAGGTTACTTTACCACAGCCAGTTTCCATATTTGTTTTTACTTTGTAATAGCAAAAATTCTTAAGTCCTTGAGATCAATACCTAATAGCATTTCTCTCCAACAACCACCTGAGACTGGTGGAAGAACCACTAAAAAACTACTCCTATGTAATTCAGGCTCGCATTCAGCTCACTGTGTAGCCTAGGATGGCCTCGAACTCACAATTCTCCTGCCTCAGCTTCCCAAGTACTGGGATTACAGGTATATGCCACCACACCTGGCTTCATTTCTCATTTTAAAAAAAAGGACAAAGTGGATGACTAGAAACAAGGACATCATGATTAAAAAAACAATGAGCAAGTGCTAAAAAATAACATCACTGAAGATTTGAGACTTTTTTTTTGGCTGACCTGGGGATTGAACTCAGACCCTAACGCTTGCCAGGGAAGCGCTTATTCTACTGAGCCATCTCCCCAGCCCCTGAGACATTTTTTAAAAATGCCATTTTTGCATAACTAGGCAGACTACATATTTTTATTTTAAAACAAACACAAACAAACAAACAAAAAGCAAACCTCCCTGCCACACCACTGAGATAAAGAAATTCAACTACTGCTAACTGTAACAACCTATTTTCTGCCCTATGATATTAACTGAGAAGAAATGCTGGCAAAAGAAAACAGCAGAATGCTTATTTGGGCTGTGTAATACGTTCTAAATAACTAGGCCTTTTCCACCCTGGGGAAAACTGTGATCTACTGTTACAAAGACTCTTCATGGGAAACAGATCTATCTGTCTCCTGGTCATTTCACTGAATCCTTACACTAGGAAGTCTAAGGCCTGATTTCTACTTTTTGGTTTAGTAAGAATTCTGGACTAGCAGGCAACTTCAGCTCCTTGCACCTCAGCCCAAGCCCTCACACACAGCTGTGTGGCCTACTTACGTGGACAGACTCTCCTGCGGGAGGGACCTCTGGCCAGAGAGCTGCAACACATGCAGAGTGGTAGCAGGTGTGCAAGTCAGAGAACACCCACCTTCCTCCTTTGAAGGAGTAGAGCAACCATCAGAGGCTACTGAGGAAACAAAAAAGAAATTCTGGCTGCATTTACTTCTCAGACAGACATTATTGATTTGCCCAAAAAAAAAACACTACAAAAACAGTAATATCCGTATTACTGACCATGTTTTGAGAGGGCAGAAATTTTTTTCTAACTGTAGTACAATTAATGGAATGCCATAATGAGACAAATCTTTGGTCACTGGTAACCCCCCCACATTATGGGTTTCTTTAACAAAATAGTGAAGAAAAACATTCCTGAATCCTTTCTGTCATAATCTAAACTTGGAGAGGAAAAGCCAGAATCCTTATACCTCTGCTGGGCTGCTCTTCTTTCTTGTGATGCTTCTATTATAAAACAGCAAGCGAGCCTTTTATTCCCACGTCTACCTAAGGTGACGTAAAGCTCATGCCAAGATGCAGATGGGAGGAGTCAAAACAATGCGCATGACACCTGATGGTACGAACGCAGCAATTTTCATGATTAGAACTTGGGCCTCCCCAGAGGAGACGGAAAATACTCATGTACTAATAAAAGAAAAGAGGAGCAGCTGATTTATATTAGGAAGCTTCCTATTGGTCCCTTCTCCTTAGCAACAGACAGAATATCAACTATATTCAACCTAAATGTAAAGAAATTCCTTCAATACAACCTCGTAGCTTTAGTGAGGAAACAAAAAAAAAAAAGGCTCTCTGGTCACCTGTTCTGCACACCAAGTGCCATCACAAGACAGTAAAGGAACACAGTCCCTTCTCATTAAAAAGCACATTGTATCTGGGTGGTTACTGCTGACACTTGCCTGCCCTCTGAGGTTCTGGAAGGAGGGGGCTGGGGAATAAAAGTGTATGAAACAATCACAGTTTTATTCTAAGTTTTATGTTCTTTCTATGAAGCCTTCATTGTCTTTTAGGTGTAGGTGAACTAATAAACAGATAAGTAGCCCATTACCCAAGTAAAATGGCTTATCCTATCTATAATCCTAAATTTACTTTATTAGCTGTTGTTATTCAGTAACTTTATTTCCGAGAGAAAATCACGTTCAAAATGTTAAAGAGCAAAAATTCCCCAAAGCCCTTCTCTCTAATTAGCTACATTTTCCTTTCATATCACCAAGTCAACAAATCTCTACAATTGCTTTCTAACTTAAACATTAGGCTCAGGACTAAAATAAAAATTCAGATCTTTGGAGAAGAGGAGCTGGCTGTAACAACTAATCATCCTTTATACCTGTTTTATTGCTCTGGTCAAACAAGTCTTCCTGAGTTGACAACACCTCAGGTTCTGGTGACTTCTGAATCTGTAATCCACCTTCCAGAAGTTCTGGAACAGCCGTTTGTTCTTTTGTTTCCATAGCAGCATGAGACACTCTAGGACTAGAAGGCAGGTCTTCTAACCTAGGAAAGTCATACCACCAGGAGAAAAGGTTGCTCAATTCAGTCTTTCATCTGTTCCCTGAAAAGCTTTTCCTGTTTTGGATTTTTTTTTTTAATAACTACAAAATTCCCAGCACCTATAATCTATATCACGACCCACTGAAAGCAAAGTAAGTGAGTCTAGAAAGCCCTCGGCCCATTTCAAAGTCGCCTGGGTCTCACACATAGCAACACCTCTCTTCAGTTCACCTCACTGCCAAGCTGCATGCTTTGCAAGACTTCTGAGGTGTGATTTGGAGATTTCCGCCACACAAGCTGGTGTCTAGTGTTGTACGAAACATTTTCATCCAGACCACAATGCTGCCACTAAGGTGGGCAGTCCAACAGTGGTCCTCCCTGGCAAGTCCCGGATGTGAATTATCCACTTCATCTACTCAGCCAAGCTGCAAACCAGGACCCCTCGGCACTTGGCACTGATACTACTCAACATGTAAAAAAACTTTATGTCCCAGAGCTCTAACCCTGGCCCCACCCACCCACCCACCTTTTTGAGACAGGGTCTCACTAAATTGCTAAGCCACCCCAGTCTGACTCAAATGTACGATCCTTTTGCCTCAGCCAGGATTAGAGGTATGTGCCACCTTGCCTGGCACAACAACCATTAGGATCCCTTGCTAGAGACTTCACCTACCCTACTGCTATGCAGAATAAACAAGATAGCAAAAAGAGCTGGAAGGAGAACTTTCTGAGGGAAAACCTAGCCGGAAATGGTGGTGCATGCCTGTGATCCTGGCACTCAGGAGAGTTGTGAGTTCAAGGCTAGCCTGGACTACATAGTCCTCCCTGTCTGAGGTTAAAAAAAAAAAGGAAAAAAGAAAAATCTAAAAATGCAGCTGATATGTATTGTATATTAGAAAGACAATTCCTGACATTCGACTTTATTTAGGAGGTCACAGCCCATTTTTTCTACTGAAGAAAATTATAAAACAAAACCAAATATTTATTCAAAATGAAATCCTCCCAGTTCTCCTCTGCTATATGCTAGGCAAGTTCTCTACCACTGAGCTATGTAGCCCCAGCCAACAAAAGATTCTAAAGGAAATAAGTCCCGTTTTCAAAACTAGTTTTAGGAGCTGGGGAGATGGCTCAGCAGAATAAGAGCTTGCCTGGCAAGCGCAAGGGCCTGATTTCAATCCCGGTTCCACCAAAATAAAATAAAAATAAAAACTATTTTGGATAAAATAATTACCAGAGATAGAGGAAAGGTGGGTGTATTACCCAATTCTTACCAAATTAAGAGCTGAAAAGACTTAGAAAAGCTCCTACATCTATCTTCCCCATAAACTACCAGACGCAGGATGCCTAAAGATCCAAAACAATGTGGGTGCTGGAGTGTTGAAACAGCAAATTTTCAAATATATTTGTGCCTCTTCTTAACACCTGAGAGGCTAAAAAGACCTCCTCTAAAGACAATGTCTCTGTACACAAAGATAACAGGACAAGTGGCCACCAAAGAGTGACAGCAGGACTAGTTACAGCAGCAATAGATCTCCTCTGTGAAAGGCATAAATTACGATGAGGACGCAATGAGACTGCATAAATAATGTTTACAAGTAATCACTCTTCCTATTAGACCAGAAACATGCTAAGCATAAGAGGAAAAAAAGTCAACAATTCCTAAAAGAAGTATCTACCAGCAACATACAAGTAGTATAACCCAAAAGCAAAAAATCTATGAACTACAGAGAGGGGGAGGGGAAGGGAGAAGGGAAGGAAGGGGAGGGGGAAAGGGAAAGGCAAGGAAAGGAGAAAATACAGTTTACCTTGCCTGTGCTGGACTTTGTGCTTCGACCATATGCACCACATTACCGGGCTGTGCGGTCGGCACGGGGCAGTCCTTGCCGGGCTGTTCTGCCACAGGGATAGCTTCACTGGGCAGCTCTTCATGCTTAACTGCGTGAAGGTGCAGAAGGAAACAAAAGGGGGGGTGACAAGAAGGAGACATTATCCAAAGTATTAGAAGCAGTCCTAGATGAATGAAACCTGGGATCCAGTACACGCTAGGGAAGCACGCTACATTCCCAGCCCGTCCCAGTGTTTTAAAATGCAAAGATTTTAGAAAGAAGTCCAACTTAAAATACACATAAATGCATACTTTCCAAAAGGGAAAGCAACCAATAACTACTTACAGAAACTCTCAACAATCTCTAAGCCATCAAGCACTTATCAGCTAACTGCAAACTTACTAGATAAGCTTAAGATATTAATTTGGACAGGTATAAAACTTATCAAAGGAAGAAAACATCATAAAGAACTCCAAAAGTGGGCTGGGGACATAGCTCAGTGGTCTAAGCGCCTGCTTGACAAGCACATGGAGCTGGGTTTGATTCCCAGTACCACATGCCATGCTGGCCCCAGAACCCTGGATGTGCCATGCTGGCCACCAGATCACAATGAGTCCAAGCTGTATGGTGAGACCCTGTACCAAAAAAAGAAATTAAAAAAAAAAAAAAAAAGAACTCCAAAAGTGAGCAAAGCACTTCATACCGGTATCTGCATCCACATCTGCCAGCCTGCTGTAACCAGAGCTGGTGGTTATTAACTGTACGTGCTCTTTGTCTACTTCATATGGCACAATGTGTTCTTCAACATCCTGACTCTGAGAGAGTTCCAGGACCCCAAAGCCAAGCTGTGATGAGGCAGTATCTAGGACAAAATGTCAGCAGTTAGGACTCACCCCACAATATTGTCAAGGTGCAAGCTACTGTCCCTTGGCAAAACAAGATCATGTTAAGTTCTTCACATCAAAACCCCGTCCCCAAAAATACTTCCCCAAAGGAGTCACACAAGACCCTCGGTTCAATTCCCAGGAAAAAGCAAGAATAAATGCTTTTAAAATGAAGAGGAAAATACATAACGAAGCAAAAACTTGGAATATGGTAGACTCTGTCTACATTCCGAAGACACACCATAACCCATAACCACACAAAAAGCCATTCAGAGTCCAAAAATATTAAAACAAAAACAAAAACAAAAAAAAAAAAAGAAAGAAAGGCAGAGAAAATTTAAAAGGGAAAAAGAGCCAATATGCACAAAGGGAACTATTCAATGAGCTACCAATTCTTAGACAAATCAGATGGATTATTTTACATGATAAGCAAATTTCTTAATGACTCAATTTAGTCATGAGAAATCTAGAACCTGTACCAACAAACTCAAACATCTCCACACTCATGTTAAAGGAACACAGAAGAGTACACTGCAGAACAAAGCACAGGCTACCTTCAGCACCAAGGCAGTGTGCAGCAGCATCTGAAGGGTCTTCTTCTACTTCCTCTTTCCCCTTCTCTTCCAACTCATCTTCCTTCTCCTCCCCAACCGCCGGAACAGATTCCAATGACATTCCCAGAACACTACACAGTGGAAGGACAAACATGTGTTCCCAAGAGACTGGGACACTGAAGTCCCTGAATGTTACTGTATCTTCCCCACACATCAATTACCTCTTAGCCAAACCCTCCTCCTCCCTTGAGTGCTCCCCTCTATAGAAATCACCTAGAAGGTTACCAATGCAGAACCTGTACTGAATTAAGTAACACAGCAATTAAACAGAAGACACAAATATACTGAAGAATCTCAAAAATAGTAGCTTTTTTTTTTTTTTTTGGTGGAACCGGGGATTGAACTCAGGCCTTTGCGCTTGCCAGGGAAGCGCTTATTCCACTGAGCCATCTCTCCGGCCCCTAACAGTAGCTATTAAGATGGACAAAATTCATAGAAAATATTTTGATATAAAAACCTTACGGGGAAAAAAAAAAAAACCTTACAGGGCTAGGGAGATGGCTCAGTGGAATAAGCGCTTCCCTGGCAAGCACAAGGGCCCGAGTTCAATCCCCGGTTCCACCAAAAAAAAAAAAAACTTAGAATAGGCTGGATGTGGTGGCACTTTTCTGTAATCTCAGCACTAGGGAGGCTGAGGCAGAAGGATTATTATGTGTTCGAGGCCAACCTGGGCTACAAAGTGAGCTAGGCCAGCCTGAACTGCATGGTAAAGCCCTGTCTCAAAAACAAAAAACAAAACTATAATACGTGGAATCAAAGTGTCCAAATAAAATTTAGGCCCATGTATTTAAAAGGAAATCAACACCACAGCAAAAAAATAGTAAAACTAAAGACAAAACATAAAACAGGAAAAAATACCTGTAATAAATGTAAACTATATACAACATTTATATTCATTACAATTAGAATAACAAAATAAAGAACTCATACAAGCCAGATGTGGTGGCGCTTGCCTGTAATTCCAGCACTCAAGAGGTTGAGGCAGAAAGATTGCCGCAAGTCTGAGACCAGTCTGGGCTACATAGTGAATTCAAAGCCAGTCTGAACTACATAGTGAGACCCTATTTCAAAAAAGAAAAAAGAAAGAACCCATACAAAGAACCCTAGCATAAACAAATAAATGACAACAGTCAACTCATTAAAAGGAAGCCTGCGGGACAGCTCAGAGGACTAAGTGCCTGCTTTGGCAAGTGCAGGAAGCAGGGTTCAATCCCCAGTCCACGTGCCAAGCCGGCCCCGCCCCGGGGGCACACAGGGCCAACGAACAAGTCTGGATGTGGCAGCGCATGCCTATAATCCCAGCACTGGGGAGGCTGAAAACAGCAGGATCACTACAAGTCTGAGCTGCACAGTGAGACCCTGTACCAAATACATAAATGAAAACAAAAAAAGAAAGAAAAGTAGCCAGGTACAGTGGTGCACACCTGTTACCCCAGCACTGGGGAGGCTGAGGCAGGAGGGTCACTACAAGTTTGAGACCATCCTGGGCTACAAAGTGAGCTCAAGGCCAGCCTGAACTGCGTAGCGAGACCCTGTCTTTAAAAAAAAAAAAAAAGAGGGGCCGGGGAGATGGCTCAGTGGAATAAGCGCTTCCCTGGCAAGTGCAAGGGCCTGAGTTCAATCCCCGGTTCTGCAAAAAAAAAAAAAAAAAGAGTTAAAGCGGCTCAGGATGCAGCTCAGTGGTAGAGCACGCTGCCTAGGACATGTAAGGCCAGGGCCCCAGAATTACTTTATAAAAATCTAACTAGTTTTAGAGCTGGGGGTAGACAAGTGGTATAATACTCAAACTTAAGCAATCAATTCCTAGCACTGAATTCAATTCCAGTCCCTACAAAGAAAAAAAGAACTTGAAAGTATTCATATCTACTGATTCTAACAATTTTAGAAAGAAATTTGAAAAGTAGAAAGAACCTTAAAAGTAATGTTTACTGTCTTAATAATGTGTAGGTTCAGTATGAGAAAAATAAATAAATCTGTAATCTATAAAGTAAAATTTTTTGAGACAGGTTCTCACTTTGTAGCCCAAGTTGACCTTGAACTCACAGGGATCCTCCTGCCTCAGCCTCCTGAGGGGGTGGATTATAGGTGTGCACCATCACATTCAGCTCAAAAAATCTTACACCACTATTTAAAATGTTTGAAGCAATAAATAAATAAAATGTCTGAAACAAATTCACTATATGAACCTATACTGGATCTTCGATCAAATAAAACAAAATATAAGACACCTTTGACACAGCTGCAAAAATCTGAAAACGAACAGTATTATTAGATATTACGGAATTATTTTGTGTGATAAGGGTTCTATAAACACGTAAGATGATGTATTTATCATGGGGGATGAACGCGAAAGGGGAACTATGAGTCAACAGCAAACCACTCAGGCCCTCATAAAAGCAAGCACACACAGAACATGCACGTACTCTTTTTATCACATGTATAGGTTTAGGTTGGGAAAATGTTATTGCTTTAATTCACATGGGAAAAAATGTTCACATTTTTAGGCAAAAAGGTCAACAAGCCAAGCATGGTGGCACAGGCCTATAATCCAGCACTTGGAAGGCTGAGGCAGAAGAATCATTCCAAGTTCCAGACCAGCCTGGGCTACGAAGTGAGCTCAAGGCCAGCCTGAATGGAATGAATGGCATTTGACCCTACCTCAAAAAAACAACAGAAATAATAAGTTTTAATTATATATACACATATATATATCATACTACAGTTTCAAAAAAATGTTACCAAAGAATCTATTTCTTTTTCTGGGAGTGGGGGACGACCACTTAGGACAGAACCCAGGGCCTCACACATGCCAGACAAGCATTTTACCACTGAGTTTCATCCCACCTTTTTTTTTTTGATAGGGCTTGCTAAATAGCTCAGGCCAACCTCCAATTTGCAATTTTCTTGCCTCAGCCTCCACAGTAGCTAGGATTACAGGTATGTGCCACTACACCCAACTAACTCTATTATTTCTTCTTTTTTTTTTCTTTTTCTTTTTTTTTTTTTTTTTTTTTTTTGGCGGAACCGGGGATTGAACTCAGGCCCTTGCCAGGGAAGCGCTTATTCCACTGAGCCATCTCCCCGGCCCTATTATTTCTTAAAACAGCATGTGAATCTACAATTATCTCAACTGTTTAAATGTTTCATGATGAAATATATATTTTTTCCACATTATAGAATACTCCCAACATAGGAATGTCAGGTATTATCAATAGGTAAGGCACGATTGGAGGGGGAATTTTATGATACAGGACATTTCCCAAGAAGTCATTTTTGTCAAAAATCTGCATTATGCCATGCCTGCCCCACCCCTAGGGCATACTGAGACCTCGAGGGAGAATGGGCATGGTGGCACGCACCTGCAATCAAAGTGCTTGGGAGGCTGAAAATAGGAGAATCACTATTGTCTGATCTACATAGTGAGACCCTGTACCACATTTAAAAAAAAAAAAAAAAATGCTTTAATGAATAAAAGCAGCATAGGCATATGCTGTAGAGAACTTTCACTTCTTTAGAATCACCTTCAAGCTCTTTCTGGCTTTTTTGAATCTCACACCATCAGGAGGTTCCTGTCACCCTGCAGGCTGCCCCTGAGCCCTCCAACCACACCCAGCCAATTATGGTTCTTGTTTGAATTATAGTGTAGAGCTGCTCCCACAATCCCCTCATTAAGGTATTTTTTATTTTTTTCCTCTTAAATGATCACTATTGTAACTAAACAGCTACTGATGTAATGGCTTGATTAATATCAGTCTCCCTCATTAAATTATAAGCACCATGACAACAAAGCCCCTTTAAAGTACATGCCAAAACACTCAAATATTTACTGAACTTAGCCAATCATATTGATGCAGAAAAGGAAAACTATAATCCCACCACTTGGGAGACTGAGGCAGCAAGATCGCACTGAGTTTGAGTCCAGGCTGGACTACACAATGAGCTCAAGGCCAGCCTGAGGTACAAAGGGAGGTCATGTCTCAAAAAAACAAAAAAGAAAAGCAAAAATAGTAGCGTGGAACTTCTCCAACAGCACTTCATTCATAATGGGGCATGCATACTTCCAGCCCACTGAGTCAAACCAGGAATCTGAGCCCTAAGAACAGCTAAGTCTGTATGTGCTCCTGAAGAGCTACTGGAGGCTGAGGCAGGAGGATCACCATGAGTTTGAGGCCAGCCAGGGCTACACAAGTGAGTTCAAGCCAGCCTGAACTACATAGTGAAACTCTGTCTCAAAAAAAAAAAACAATATTCTTGAACCATTTCAAGCTACCATTCTCCTCTAGCTCCCAACCTCCAAGCCTCATGACTCCGTTTCCTTTGACCTGAGGCAAACTGGGGCAGAAGACTGAGAAGCAAAGGATCCACAGAAAGAGGAAGCATTTGAGTCAAAAGCAACAAATCCCAAACCCAGCTCTGCCACTTACTAACACTGTACTCCACAGCAGGTATTTAACTTCTTTGCCCATCAGTTTCTCCCACTATACTGTACAATGGAAGTAATATAATGTTGCCACTGTATAGCTCCTTTAAGGATCGAATTAAGAAAGACTATATGTCAAACACAGTACAGTGTTCTAGGGTGCCTGCCTGGCAAGCATGAGGTCCTGAGTTTGATTCCCTGTATGTACACGCATACCACACACACACACACACACACACACACGCACAAAATCAACCAATCAATATAGAGTTTAACAGGACGAACAGAAAAAAAATTGGCCACTGTAAAAATATACATAAGACGTAGAACAAATTAGTGTCTGCATCACACCTGGGTCTAACAGTGGGGAAGTATTTTGAATGGCTGATGTCTAACAGTACACCTAATATTTTCTCAGCTGTGTTTTCTCATGACGAAAAATGCCTATTTTGTTTTATATGCATTACATGCATAGGATACATGAGTTTGACTACTGCAACTATACAAAATGCTACTTGCAAAAAAGAGCTTCCAGCTGGCAGTACTACACACAAGATTACAGAATTCTCAAATGTCATTCCCTAGTTTACACACAAAAAAAAATTAATCCTTTTATCCCTGGGATGAGACAATAAATACAGATAAGAGTTGATCTGTTAATAAATTTAAATAACCAAGCATGGTGGCGCACACCTGAAATCCCAGCGCTCAAGAGGCTGACACAGGAGGATCCCTTAAAGTTTGAGACCAGCCTAAGCTACAAAGCAAGACCCCCGTCTCAACACAAATAAGTCCATTTAAATATAAATTCCTAAAAAAATAAATAAATAAATAAATTAAAATAAAATAAATAAATAAATATAAATTCCTTCAAATACTAGTATACCTGCTTGTCCTGTTCGGCTGAGGTAACTGTTCAATGACCTGACTGATGGAACTACATGTATCCAAATGAGGAGAATCCACAGGATCTGAAAAAAATGAGTGCATATTAGCACCAGCAGCACTTACCACTAAACTTTCATACAATTCAGGAACACTGAATACCAACGTACTGAGCCACATTACAACATCCTGATTTTGCATGCTTACTAGGAACTGCACTAGACCTGCTTAAACGCATTCAGCACAGGCCTTTCCTGTTCAGGGCCCTCCCCCATCCAACTGCACCTACAAAAATGCAAAGGGAAAGGACGGCTTTAAACGCCTCACCTGCAGCTTTGTTTTCTTTCAAATGTTCATTGAACCCACTATTTTGGTCTCCCTGTTCAGCTGTCTGTTCAGGATTGGACACAACATCCTAGAAAATATACACACACAATGTGGACACAACGTACAAACAGTCCAAAATGAAACGCACTTTTTGTGACTATCTTTATTCCATTGCCCCAAACAACTTTATCCAAAAGATAGTAATCCTCTAACCACTTAATTTTACTGGTTGGTCCGCATTAGAAAACTCAAATCTGCTTGATCATTTTCAAACAAGTTATCCCTCACCAACACAGGGTTCTCTTTGTGCATCTGGAGATTTGGAAGGTGTCGAGAAAGCACACTAAAGTGAGAACCCGAATCATCTTCTAGAACCTGGCTTTCAGGCTGAGAATCTTCAATTATCAGGCAAGGAGTATCTTGCTGAGAGAAATCTGAATCCAACTGACTTCCAGTAGGGTCCATCTGCTCCCCTGGAATGGAATAACAAAAGATCAGCTCTGTGTAACCTACCAGCCTTCCTCACGCATTCTGAGACTAAATAATGGGGAGGAAGTAGAGGAGCTGAGAAGAGCCCAGTCCAGGGATCCGCGGACGGCGCGTTCTATCTGTAATCACTGCGAGCACTTTCCTGTCGCACCTCCCAAGCACCCCCATTTCCTCGCTACTTATAACGAGCCTACCAATCCTTCCTCTGTTCCTTTTCATTACTCTTTCCCCTCCTCCCTAACCTCTTCTCCCCGCCCCTTTTTTCCATCCCCCCACAACTCTCACTACGTCCTTCTGGCGTCTCCACCGCCCCCCAAAAGACTGCTCGCCATCTCCGCTCGGGGAAACCCCTCACCCCCTCGCGATTGCTCGAGACCACCGGCCTCCCAGCCCGGCCTCCCCGCCCCCTCCCGGGCCTGCAGCCCCTTCCCCGGCCCTGCCGCCATGCTTGCCACCCCGCCCCCTCCGGGCCGCCGTCCCCTCCGACTCCTGGCCCACGCCTCTGGAGCCCGCGGCGCCCCATTTCCCCCGGGCTGTACCAGGCATCCCGGCGGGAGGTCCTTCGAGCTCCAGCTAGAGGTCTCGACGCGCTCCCCAGATCCCTCCAGCTCGATCCCCGGGTCGCCGCTGTCGCCGCCGCCGCCACGGGCCGCGAGCTCCCCCTTTTCCCGTCGCGTCACGCAGTATCAGGCCGCCCATTCACTGCTGCTGCCCGCCACTCAAGAAACCCTGTGGAACGATAGGTGGCTGCGGGGGAAGGCTCCGCCCCACAGGAGAAAAAGGAACTCGGCGGCGCGTTTCCATGGCAGCGGGGACAGTGCAGGCCCTCCCCTAGTACAGCGGGAGAATGACAGTATCCATGAACCTCAGGGACCTTGAGAGGGCACGACATGTATCCCTTATCTCCAGGACGGCTGTATCTACCAGCACTCAGACATTTGAGATTCTACTTGGTATAGTGCATTCACCTAAGACCCCTTCCCTTCACTCATTCCCGTGGAGGAGTTTCTCCGCTTTCTAATAAAAGGATAAAGAAAAGGATTCAGGAGGGCTGGGACCTCAGAGCTGCTGAAATGGAAGAAAGAGAAAATTCTTGGAGGTTTACCTGGATTAAGCGGGAATCCCTTTTGTGGCCCTCCTCCTGAATTCAAGAGGTCTGAAGCTTCTTGTCTTACATCTCTACCAGTTACTCGTTTGTTGTTGGGGGTTGGGGGTTTGGTTTGGTTTGGTCTGGTTATTGTTGTTTACATTGTCTGAGGTTCCTGTAAGCCATGTTGCTTCCCGTTGCCCTTTCCAGTCTGGAAGGCTGGAAGGTATTTCAAGTTTTACATTCATCGTTGTTGTCTTTTTTTTTTTTTTTTTTTTTTTT